TTGACGCAGCCTAGTTTTTGGTATATATACTGTATCCACGCCAATAAAAATGATCATGGCAAGTGAATAAAGAAATTACCACAACGAAAAAACTAATAAGATCTGGAAATCTAGAACATTGGAAGCAGATTCTGTACTGTGTTTTGTCTGCCACTGTGGCACTGATCAGCGTACAGACATGTTCTACGTCCTTTGCTTAACCGATATGGCACTTGTCTGGCCATGGGCAGTCTTTGAAAAGGCTCCCCTGGTAGACCATTATGGAGCAGGGAGGTAATAGTGTAGCTTAAGACACTTTTCAAACCGGACTCTTTATTTTCTCTGCGAGACATCAACTTGACACTTAGACTCTTGCCCCCCAGAAGACACGTGGTATGACGTGATTCTGTGGGTGTTAGGAGTTCTGGGTCAGGGCTAAAATCAGAATGCGCGGATATTTTTTCATTAGAGCCTGATCTCTGGTTGTTACGCCACCCTGACGAGCCCCAAAGAGGGCGAAACAGCTGTCTATGGCTACAATCCCGCTCTGTTTTGGGTTCTTTCGGTGTCGCGTTGATGTCTTGTATAGAGTTAATTTTCACGTAGTACGATCAGCATTGCAGTATTCTGCTTGCAGAATTTAATATGTCAATCCTGATGCAGCCTCTTGGATGCAACAGATTGGAACACGTTGTTAAGTTAAAGTTTGGGTAACTCACTGCTCGCCCTAGCGCGTCTCCCACGCGCGTTTCTCCCACTTGGCTATATGGATGGTGTACTTGTTACTTCGGCTCTTGTCTTAAACTACGCAGGCTACTGTACAGTTAGATTAAGCATTCCTTGTGCTCTGTGAAATATAATGTTGATGGAACTATCAGAGTTTGAATAACAGTGTTGGATGATTAGGAAGGAAGGATTTGAGCTGCGATGCCTATCACAATGATTGGCTAGTTACTCAGATCAGATCGGGCCTCGTAACATGTAAGAATCGACAACCTTGTCCCCAGGGCTTTTCCAACTTTCTAAGCCGGATAAGCCCTGGGCATGAGTTTAAATCCACAGAACCTCCTCATGTTCAGTGTTTGCCAGTTCCTTTGATCGGTTGAAAACCGTCAGTTCGGGCGTACGGTCACGTGATTACCAAATTTTCTCGGGTGGGTAGGTTACTTCATTTTCTTACCCATGGTGCTCCGCTGCGCGCGCTCCGCTACAGGAGCCGATTACTGTTTTAAGTATAAATTTCAGCGTCAGATTCAGAGAGTAATTGCTTAGTTCATTACATTACTCAAGTAAATAGAGAAATTTGACTGAATTAGATCACCTTGCCCTCGACAAGAAAACGTATTTTTCTTTAAAAACAATCAGATGTTTTCTCAGAACATACCGCAGAGTGATTTAAAAACAAAATCTGTATTAAATAAATCAAACGTTAACTTAGCGGCTGTAAAACTGAACTTGTATGTAAACACGATTCTGTTTGATGTTTAGTTTAAATGGTTATATTTTCCGTTTTTTTTTTTAATACTTGTTGGAGATGAAATATAAATATATATTAAACAGTTAAATGACAGGCATTTCATTATACTTGCTACATTTCTACTATCACTTCGCCACCTGTGATATCCAAAACTAGGGTGACGTCTTGTCACGGAGCCGTCGCTCAACTGACCTTCATTTTGTTATTTTTTAAATTTATTCGCCATACGTTTTTCTGTGTTTAAAGTAAGAGCATTATTTTATTGTAAGAACTGTTTTTCCACGCTTGTCTAGGTTTCAGAACAAAAGGTGCTCGTCTGGGCGGGAGGATCATTGTTCTGTTTCACAAGAGCGGGGAACACAGAAATTTCTATTTCGTTTGGAGGCGATTCTCATCCAGATAGAACGAGGTTTGCTTTGAGGTACGTATCATATTGGAAAAATATGAAATGAATTGTGAAATGGTCAAAGTATCAATCAAGACTGGTTCAATTCGTCTAACATTGTCACTGATTCTAAAAGAAACCAATCGCGCCAGCTTCCAAGTTTAATTTGTGCTCACTTCAGTGACTGCTGCTTCACTCAGTCACGTTTCATAGTTTTATTCTATTTAGTTTTTCTTGCTTTCTTTGGGTTTCTTTTTGTAGATTTCAGGACGTTTGGTCCATTTAATCACCTGCGCAATTAGTTCAGCTGTTCGGCGATTTATATAACAATCTAGAGTTCTTACTGCTGCCTGCCTTCCAGGCAGCCGTTGTCGTTAAATTAAGGAAAATGTTTCTCTCCCTCCATCCTTTCCTCCCCTCTAATGGTTGCTAGTCGCAGATGCCCGTAGATTTTTCCTCTATGAAGAATTTTTATCAATCCATCTACGTTGACTCATACGATGAATAAAGTAAAGTCTGGCATTTATACTAGGATCGTGAGTTCGGTCATTTAAAACAAATACGACTGGGTGACTGTAAAAAGATCTGATCCCAGCTTTTGTTTTCATAAAATTTCAGTAACCTTTCGCCCTTTAGCGGCTCTAAATCATCTGTGCCAAGGGTTATCAAAAAATAAACTTATGTAGTATTTACTCTTTATCACGCCAACATTTGTAAAAAAATATTTATGACTGTTGCAAAATAAGAAGAAGATCTCCATTTCGTCTCCTACTACCAAAGAAAACATTTTGATATTCAACACTGAATGACTTTATCAGCGCTTTTGACGCGACTGAAATCCTTTGAGAGGCAAACAGCCGTAACGACCAAAGCGACTGTTTTAATTGATCAACACTTCGTTAAGATTTCTCTTTAATATACTGAATATATCCTTACTTAATATATAGTTTTAATAGTCAATAGTGTGAGGTGTAAACATCTGTCGGCGAACCAAGAGCGCTGTCAGCAACAAAAAGTACCAGGCTTAGAGTAAACATATACGATGACTTTATTTTATTCCGTTTGTAACTGAGCTAAAGCCAGCCGTAAGTGATTACGGATCATGAAGAAAATAGTCCCGACTATTTTAGTATTGACACTGTATTGACTGTGAGGATCAAAATGTCTTTACACCTACCTTCTATTTTTTGACGATAATAATAAAAACCTAACGATTTATATAATAATGAACAGAACTACTAAATGTTTTTGATACGGTTCAGTAGACGAGCAAAAAATTAAAGAATTCTACTCGTTTATTAAACATTACGTCGGTCATGGTCGAATTCACTTTTAATTGGCAAACGTTCGAAACTTAGTTATAAAAATAAGATGACGTCACGCCCTTAATGCCCTCTGCCTGATCTGCAGTGATCTCTTGACTGAAAGGCTACCACTCGCATCAGGTGCATAAAGAGATTTTAGCTGGACGAATGAAAAGTGACAGACTAAACTGACGAGAAATTATCTATCTAGTAATTTATTTTATCTCTTATAATTGTTCTGTTGTGTTCAGTTCTGTCTTTATTTTCAACCATGACCGTAACAAAATGACACAGACATCATCTTGTTATCTATTGAACGGTTACAAAAGATCGATCAAAGCTAACCAAGCCAAAAAAGAAGATACATGGATATGCTGAATGCCGGCATAAATGTTAATTTAATAATTATTTCTTAATAATTTGCTGTTTAATTTACCTCCCTTCCCCGCGGTTTATCAGTATTATTAGGTAGATTTTTGCAACTCTCTTGTATGGCTTTGATTTTAATTAAACAGAGTTACACATAAGACCAATTTGAAAGGAACTCAATTGTTTAACAATATTTACAAATTTCGATCATTTCAAACAATTAATGCGAAACTTGCTTTAGGCTATGTTCCCATAGTTAAAAGACGGACAAAACAAGTTTTGTTTTCGTGTAAAAATTGGTCAAATTTCTTCACGTCGACACCAACATGAACAGATCTGCACACTGGCAATTTCAACACTACATGAAGTTGATGCAGGAACTTCAGTCCTCCTGTTTTGTACCGTTCTGGTCCATGTCTGGTCCTATGTGTATGTTTTCAATTATTTATCTTTTGCTTAGGCGAAAGAAGCTATAAACTTTTTATTGTGGGTGTGGTTTGAAAAATGTACAGTCGATTTAAGTATGAGCTCATTCTTAATTTTTTGAATAACTTGAAAAACTGAATAATCTCCCCAGAACCGCCTTCCTTATTTTGCTTCAAAGCTCTTCAAGCAGGAGCCCCAAAAAGGAGAATAATGAGTTAGAAAAAGTTTAAAAATCCCTTCAAAGTAGTGCTTTAAAACGAAAGGGGCAGCTATAAAATAAAAGATTCATAAGGGGAAATTGTGTTTGTGTTGACTACACCTAAGTCGATTTTGTGACGCGCGCCTCTGCATGCGTCAAACGGCGGGAAAATGACGCGCTTCCGCACTTTGAATGTCGTGTTCAAAAATGCTCCCCTTTTTGCAACTTTTTTGAAATCACGATTTACTCAACGGGGAAAAAGTTCTCTCATCACGGATCAGAAATCAGCATTTTTTCCAAGTCAAACTTCATAACAATAATTCTCCATCGTGGAAGTGTAAAACGGCTTAGCGCGGATTAGAGTGAGAGCAGGACTGTTTAATAAGATTGCACTCTCAAGTGATCGGTGTAACTAACTCGTTTCCGAAATCAGTTCGGCATATTGCAGGGTATAACGCCGTCTTCCGTGTTGTGGGCAACTATCTGTACAAGGGGAAAAAACGAAAAATGAAAAAATCACGGTACTTTTGTTTTAAGCGATACAATTTTACTTGTGGTACTGAATACAACAAAATCCGTCGCACAATTGCTTTGGAGCCCAAGTCGAAGCTTAAACAAAGACCTACATGAAAGCCCACTAACAATATTTACAATAGAAATAAAAGGAAAAAGAGCAAAACCTTTAGAATTTCTTTGTTTCAGCAGGATTTGCCATGGAAACCAAAATCCTTTTGTCCGGCGATGGAAGAGTTCAATTAGCAGAAGAGCTGTGATTGGTTAACCGAACAAGGGAGAAAGCGATGCGGACAATTATTTAATTAAGATCAAACTGCGTGGGCTCGTGGTTCAAATGACGTAAAATTTACTTTCTGCGAGCATAGCTGTTCCACATTAATGATTTATGAAGCGATTGATGTAAGCGTCAAGCATTGATAACAGACCTTTTGTTTAAGCACGACACTAATTTAAATTATTCGCCCCTGTTGATTTGAAATGCTTTCACAGAAGTAGGCCGGCTGTGATATTTACCCCGCCAGTGTTTTGGGCTCGCCCGGCCGATTTCTGGACAAGGTGAATAGTTACAAATCTAGAGTTTTTCCTCTAGATTACCACTGGTTTCAATTTTCTCCACAACAGGAAGCCAAGAGGCCCACCCCGGTAGATTTCAAGCTGTAAGCGAACAAGATGCCGAGCACAAGAAATAGAAGTCGGTTATCAGAACAGTCAACCAGTAAGTTTGCAACAAATGACTTTGTCAAAAAAACTTGCCCACCAAGAGAAAAAAAGTGCAAGCTTAAATCGAAGAAATTGCTGCTCAAGAAATTTACAGCTCAGTCTGACGAGGTGGAGGAAGGTATGTTTTGAAATTATTATCATTTACTGTCATGACACAATTAAAACATTTTCGCTGATTTATTCAATGGAATCTAACAAGAATGACGAATACTTAACTGTAGAAAATTCGAAGCTCTTTGCGAAGTGTAACTTCCTCTAATGCCTCGACGGTAAAAACCGCGCAATCTTGAAGATAAAATCGTTAAGAGGTTCTCAATTAGCCAAGAGTACCGGTATTCCGTCAAGGCAACCGAGGTTTCTTTATCTAGTTTTTGTATATAGTTATTTTATAAGGTCTAGTCAGTCGCCGTTACGTCACTATAATTGTAAGCCAGAGCAAAACAGGCGAACACTGCCTGCTTTCTTGAACGAGAACGCTTCCATGACTGACTATCATTAGCCCAAAGGTTGCACTGTTAATAAAAGGCTATGTGAACCGCACATAATCCCAATAATTGTCCCGATAATTGACCTCAAGAGATCTACTGCTTAGTGACTGAAATTCCTTTGCACGAAAAGTTCTTACCATTGTTGAACGCATCGCTTGGTTGGGTCCATACAGTGATGTTAAGACAGTACTTACCGTCTGCGAATACTTTCGGGGTCAAATTTACAACGGAACAAGAAAGCGTAAAGATAAAAGCGGTCATTTCGTCCGTGAACTGGGGCACGAGACGAGAATGGCTCATAGAGATTGATACTGTACCGCTTCGTTCAATTGCATTTTATACCTGAGAGCCGAAGGATTATCTGTCATTGCTGAAGGGTTTTACAATAAATGACCCATCATTGTCTTGACTTAGTATTGGAACCGTTTACGGACCTACGGTTGCATTAAATGAGCAAGTACTTTTACAAAAAATTCAGTTCGTTCACGAAACCTGGAAAGATGGTCAGGTCACGACGCTTCAAGAAGAACAAGGAAAATGAAGCCTGTGAGTTGTAAGAAGGAGGAATGGTAGAGCAGATTTACTTGTTTCCGCCTTTGTTGACAGATTTCTTGTTGTGTTCCTTTGCAGATGTTGAATTGATGATTGGAGAAACTAAGTCTAGAATAGCCAACTGCAATTCAGCCGTTTCAAAAAGCAAGAAAGAGCAACTCACGGAAACACTTCGGTGGTGAGATTTTTTAATATATATTTTTTTTATTAGGCTTCTGGGTGCAAATTCGCGCCTACAGCGTTTCGAGGCCTTTTAAGTGCCGCTCGAAAGATTACAATTTGCACCTCAAATCCTACTAATTTGGCGAGTGATTAGGAATTAGAACCGTTTTCTGTCTGACAATGACAGTTACTTGGAGAGTGTAAAAGTGGAAGAAAGTTGGAAAAAAGCTCTAAAGATAACTCTGAATTTCCCCCAAAAAAATAATAATAAAAGAAAAGAAATGCATATATTAAACGTAAAACTGGTCATTCATTCGAAAAATTACTGCAATTTTAAACAGAATCAGCCGGGAATTTGAAAATTAATTATGTCAGAGATCTTATGTCATCATGTCCTCGTACTTTTTTGGGCTTGTGTTTTCTGTCAACAAAATGTTAAATCTCTTTCCCGAGTCCTTTTTTCCGCAAAGATACTTTAGAAAACCCGAATAAACCCATCAAAGTTTTGAGACCGCAAAAAAGTTGTAAAGAAACCGTAATGGATACCAGCATACGATATTCTTTTAGACTTCACACGTATTGGAAGCTCTTTTCTAACAGTATCCGGAAATTCGGCGGAAGATACAATTCAGGGGAGCACAATAGAACACCAGATAATTTAGCCGAAATAACAGCTAAAACATTAAACAAAACCACCTAGGTCTTTCATTGCATCTTTTGCATTTATTGACCGTGCGTACCTGCTAATTACCTTTCTGGAAATCATATATTCACTCGAAGAGTCTATTTTGGTCTTTATAGAAAACCTAAGCTTGGCAGCTGTCAAATTAAGTCAACTTTTGTCAGGCGTAAAATAAATGAATTTTTTTCTCTTCTTAACAGTGAGAAAGGTGAAATGTAAACAGTATTTGAAAGAGCGCGCAGCCCTTACATTGTATGACGTTCATTGATCGCAACACAAAAGGCTACATCTTGCCGTATAGACTTGTTTGACGCACTTGACGGTAGTGATATCTACTAGTATCAACCTCCCAGAAAGTATGAGAATAATGAATCTAATTTTATCCCCTTGAATGTTTTTGGGTTTTTATCAGTTTTTGATGTACTTCCTTTTAGTAGGAATGTTTTTAAAAATCTATTAAGAAAAATACCATTAGAGAGCTCAAATTTCATCGCCGTTATTAATGGTCTGAAATGCTTCGCGTCTTTTCGAAAAAAATGACTTGGTCCAAAACGATTTTTGTATAGTTATGTCGCAAGAAATAGCATTTTTGCGACTGATTATCGCCTAAAGCTTTTGAAGAAGAAGTCGAAAAGCTGATGACAAGTCTAATTTGCACTCTACTAATCTGCTGACATCTTGAATGACTAGTCAGCTAGCCCCCTAAAGGAACTGAACTTTATCTTTGAGTTTACTCGAGAAAACGTAAACCGCCTGCTACCTTGTACGTGACGATTTTATTGCCTCGTCAAACCTCTTTGAAATTTGTCCGGAAAAGTCTCAAGATCTCAAGTTTTAAGATTTAACGCAATGCGGTAACCCTGTTAAATTTTGCGGTTTGCGAATTGTCTACATTTGGGGTCACCTTAAAAAAGGACCGGAAACCGCGATTCAACCCCTTCGCGGGGCATAAATTGGACACTTAATGTTAATTACTGTTCGGCAGTTTTGCTTAACACGAAAACGTGGAAAGTGATTTCATCTTACAATCACCTTAGAACGGTTTACCCCAATAAAAAATACCTATGCTTTTTTCGTAATTAGCAGTTACTTTTATGTGGTTTCTTGCTTGATAATAACGGTAGAATCCAAAAAAAAAAAGGACACGCTCGTATGGTCAGTTCCACTAGGCGGTCTGTTGTTTTTTTTTTTTTTTTTTGCAGTGTAAGGTTACAGATCACCTGAGTTTCGGTGCATTAAATGCCTTTACAATTAATTCAATATTTCAGAGAAGAAAAACTCTTTACTTCAAATTAAGTGCACTATTACCTAATCATTCTAAGAAATTCGAAAACACTACGGAATGTCAAGAGTTTTATGCTCAGACGCTATCTGTCATTGAACTTAGATGCAATGAAGAAGTCGTCAAAAATAAGCAAAAAGCTGAAACTTAGCCAAAATGTGCTGATCATCTTTAGTTTGCATATAGTAACACACCTTCGGCTTGACGCTCTTATTTTACCTGAAAATGTTGTCTAGAGGCCGTAACGGGTATGCAATGGGTTTCACAGGGGAAAATAAAAAAGTGAAAAAATGACGGTTCATGTGGGTCGCTTGGCTCCTCGGCTAGGCTCGTGATCGGAACTGAGAACATTAAACTCGCTCAATCATCCGACGGAACGTTTCACCTAGCAGCCTTCATGAATTCAAATTCTTTGTTAGTGGTCAATCTGAAGCTTTAAGGGCTTTCCAGTTCAAGAAATGTTAAGAAAAGGGGTTTTGAAATGAAAGAAAATGGGTGAGAAAGCTACAATGTAGTCACATAAACTCGTTAAGGGCGAAAGCAGGTTCAGGGTTATCTAATGAAAAGACAGTATATAAGTATGGTGTCAGACTTTCGCTTCACAGTGTAATTTTTCATCAAGTAGGTCGTTTCAAATCTTCCCCGTTTCCATAATTTTGATTAAACCCTCCCCATTTTTTGTTCATATAATTATTAAAAAAATCTTAAAGGACTGCAACCTAAATGCGCATCACCCGTTTAGATCGAATGAAATCTTGGCGAGACTTAAAAGGAAAACTACCAAATATCCTAATAAGAGCAAGGTATCCGACCGAGATACCCCCTTAACTTCCGTCAGAAGCTATCTTTTTTGTCACGTCTTAAACGTTACCTCCATCAGTTTAATTGTTCTGTTGTAAGGAGTAATAAGGAGCTTTACTTGCCATTTAGTTATCCTCTATCTAAATGCGTACATTTTCAGATCTCTTTATATCATTTTTTTTCAAGTCATTAAGAGTGGTTAACCCTCTATGTCTTAATAAGCTGATCTAATTCTCCTCAGGTTGGAAGAGAACTATGTTATGTGTGAAGGAGTTTGCCTTCCTCGGTGCATTCTTTACGCTCACTATCTGGACTTCTGCCGACGACATAACGTAGATGCCGCCTGTGCGGCTACATTTGGAAAGGTACCAGTACCTCTTTTTCTTTATAAATTATGAGTGGGGCTTGAAACCGAAGATTTTAGTCGGCATGATGTCCACACGCAGGCTGGTGAACTGTCCCCCCGCTATACATACTCTCCATTGTATCAGTTTTGGGCGTTCCTGAGGTCTTCGGGACTTATTAATATAAAAAAAACCGAAAAACGTTTTTTTCTTAGTTTATTAAAATGGTAGGCACTTTAATTTGTTTTGTCCATCTATAAAACGTTTGCGGTTGTATTTCTTGGAGGTAACGAATGCTATTTTATCTGTTGCTCTTCGTTAGTTAGATACCAGCTCTCACCAAAGAAACGAGTTTTTAAAATATGCTACAATATCACTTATGCCAATGCGGCAGTGAGTTGAAAAAGAGCAAGTCATTTGGAAACTAGTGGAAAACTGTAAATAGCAAACTAATCTTTAACAAGACGGATCTTCTAGATCTCAAAGCTTATCCGCCAGCTTCAAACCATAAAAAATATAAATGGAATCTTCTTTTCTCTTGACATTTTCTGAAACCAACGATAAATGGAAGTCGAGCTGATGTCTGGCTTCTTCTGTCAACTATCAATTTTTTTTCAAATTTTCAGCAAACAATACTGCTCTTTCCAATTTTTATAGTGATCGTAAGCCTGAAGGCGACTTATAACAATTCAATTTCTTTTCTTTTCCTTTTTTTTTCATTATTTGTAGACGATACGGCTAAAGTTTCCTCAACTCACAACAAGAAGGCTTGGGACGCGCGGTCACTCCAAGTAAGCTGAAATTATATTTTAAATCGCTACTGAGATCCAAAATATTTACCTAAACGAGCACTTAACTAAATATACAAAAACAACTGCGTGGGTACCCACACATTCATCAAAATTTTTCCCTTCACAGGTATCACTACTACGGTATTGGAATAAAGGAATCTTCTGCTTATTATCACTCGGTTTACTCAGGGAAAGGTTTAACAAGGTGAGGGAGATAACTTCCTTATTGCCTTCTCGCCATGAAATATTAAGTGATATTTCGATGGCATTCCGTTGCTTGTTCTGAACGGGGTAATTAAACGACCTCCATGGTAGAGTAGGATTTGTTTGCTAAAGAGACAAAGAAAATGTCGTTCTTTTCTTATTGAAAATCCGTAAGGGATATAAACCGGAAGAGGCGGTTGTAAAATGAAGAAGAAGTATATTCAAAGAATCTGACATGCTTAACGAAATTTTCACACCAGATTTTTCACGTTGATTTCAGTCCCAACAATTGTGTTATTATTATTAAGAGTAAGAAAACTTTACACCCCTTAAATCAAGGAAACACCAAATGCAAGCCAATAATAACAATGTGTTACTAAATTTGGAGAGGTTAAAATATATCAGGATATTGTGTAAAGTTAAAGAAAGAAAACATTGACTTTTTCCAATGTTCTGCCCGACTGTTTTAAATGCCATAGAAAACTGCCATTTTTTTGGTCGTAAAATAGATCTTGGTGGGATAAATAGTTATGTATGAGGTTTTCAGTATTTCTGTTTTGTATCTTAAAAAACGGGAAATTATGCGACAATGAAAAAATAAACACATGGTTCAACCAGGATTTTGGATGATGATTAAGTAAGTTGGTGCTTTATTATTCTTTATAAAGAAAATTTGAACTAATTAAATCAATTGTCTCAGGTGTTCATTCGGTATCGCAGTACATAATTCAAATTGTTTTTTTTTTCTATACTTTACAATCAAAGGTTATTTTAACTCAGCTTCACTAAAGCCAAATGTTTGTAAGAGTCCTTTTCTTAACGACTGTTTTCCTTGTTTCATCATTCGGGGTCATCTTTCAATAAACACCGCAGTGCAGCTCACAAATACAACACAAAATCACGCGATAAGAATAAAAAAAGAAAAGAATGCCTTCAGGATATCTGTCGTTTATTTTTTGTTTTAAAAAGTGAGGGCGAAATTGCGAATGAATAGAAATAAACACAACACGTTCAAAAACGAAGACCTTATAGGAAGTTTTGAAAAGTGCTCTACAAATAGATTTTATTCGGATAGAGTCAACAATTCTTCGGGATTAAATCAATTAAACGTCGTAGGCTTCGGAGTAAATCGGAGAGGACTGAGCTTTTTGCTTGGAAAATTGTCAACATGTGCCGATGTTTGCGTGACAATGAGTGCTGCTCGCATTTATTTTCTAGTATAGACTGAAGTTTTGTGGACCTTTATGCCTTGGCGGATGAAGGAGAGGGGCCCTAGGCCTGGACCCACCGTTAAATTAGGAATAAGCGGGCTGCCATTCCTTGAATATGTCAATCCGCCACTGTGATGATTAAGGTTGTAAAGCCCGGTTTTTTTTGTTCTGGATTTCATAAGAAATTACTTGAGTTCCACCAAGGCAGCATTGTAAGACGTTTTACCGCGAAGCTGTTGGCAAGTAGAGAAAGGGAAAACAAAGACAGCAAATTTTGTCAACCTCCTTCCCAGGGTCCTCTCCACGCCACGGAGGCCGAGTAGGAGAGGACCCTGGGTACTAGGTTGAAGTTTTGTACGTGTTGAAAATGCCGAAATTAAAAAAAAATTTCTGTCTACCTATGATAAACAATGATTACCAAAGTGGAGTGTTGCGAAGCTGCAATTATTTTCAATTGCTTCCCAGTTATTGAATAAATGTTCGAAAAGTTATCAGTGGTAAGAAATAATGTCTCAAGCGACTAAAGACGGGCGCACAGTGCCTGTGTCTTAGCCTGTGTCCGGCTGTAGTTCGAGGGCCTTTACCCAGTCCCTTGGCCTCATTATTCCGCGTGGCCAATGCGTTTCGGGTCACGTGGTCCAAGCGAGTTTTTCTCCAGGCCGTTCGTCTCAGATACGTCACCGAAATGCATTGACTGCGAAGGCCTGGGGAGACGCCGTACAGGGACTAGGCAAAGAGGGCCTTAAGTTTTTTGTTCTCAAGTTATATTACCACCTGCTCAAGAGTATGCTCTATGAGTTATAATGTAATGTCTGTTCTTTGCTGCACCTGTCAGTTCTAAAATGTTTTAATTATATTTCAATAAATTTTATTTTACCACAGATTTTCTGGATCAAAAGTCAAGAATGAGGTAATAATGCCTGTTCTTGCGAGATAAGAACCCTTTTTTACATTGAATTGTATTTAAAACTATTGTATTTGTACGCCATAACAGCACTAAATTCCAACGCTATAAGGAGTGATTATCAGTAAAAGGCTGCCAAAGACATTTCTTTTCTCTGGTCACAACACAGCGTTTCGTCCGCATACTCAAAAGTTAGAACCACGGTGCTGCATAAGATTCCATCTTTCACTCTGTGATTGAAAGGTTCAACTGAAATCCGACTTATTCGAGTTTTAAACCATCTACGTTTCGTAAAAAAGCTTCAACAGGGAAACCTATGAATTGTTGTCTTCGTTTATATAGGAGTTTTCATTTTAAGCTATATTATTAATGTTAACCCGTCAATATTCGTGTGATTTGTTTAAATCGTGATTTTATTGCCCTCCTTCTTAGGGTTCTTTTTCAGTTCGCAAATATTCCCTCAGCTCCAAGACTGGCACTTTATTACCTGACTTCCCAAATCCGAGATTGCTGGAATTACCAGGAAAGATTTCGCTTGAAAAGGTGAGGAGAGGAAGTTATTCATGATCACTTTTCTCTTGTTAAAACAAAGACAAAATCGAAAGAACAGTCCCAAAGAAAACACGTTTTCTTTATCTGGATACAAAAAGATACAATACGGCTACTACATTAAAATGAACCAACAGAAAAAATCAGACCGGAAAACTGCCACTTAGACTATTAAAACGCCTGTACGGCTCATCCACCGTCTTTTAGGTTGCGAGTGTGCGCCGTTCCCTATATAGCGGATGTTCCTTTGCTTCATGCTCAAGAATTAGAGAACATGGCAAGGTATAAAAGGATATCCTCACTCGTTTCCCTGCTTTTTAGTTTTATTTTTTCTACTTCGTTGGTCACTTCCCTAACCTATAACTTGGAACCAGCATCAGATAATTTGCACTCCCCCGAATTGTACGTATTCATTGAAATTAATGCTTGTTTATTATTGATTATTTCTAGTTAGAGACGTTTGTTGTGATGTACAAGACACACTGTCAGTGTATTTTAGACACTGCGATAAACGCCAATTTTGACGAGGTGAGCTTCAAGTTTTAAAGTGTGGTTTGACTATCGTTAAAGATGTCTGTTTGCTATTCTAATATAATCAATTCACACTAGTGTTCACGTGATGGGAAAAGAAATAACACTGTGGGACGGCATTAAACCATGCATTTGCGAGGAGAAACACGGTCGGGCCCGGAATAAGACGATCATGCGATGGGTAATGTAAGCTTAGCGATCGACAAATGGTACAATTGCCAAACATTCAGGTTGGAATTAGGGGAAATGTATGTGAAAATTTGTATCAGTCTTATCCGAAACATTTCACAATGGCGAATCTGCACCAATTCATATGGAGATTTCAACCAAAATGTCCGGGTTTTCCTTGTAAATAGATAGTACTCACTCTAGATGTCCATTTTCGGAATTAAGCTTCCTTCTTAGAAGTTTTCTTTGTATTGGTATTCGTTGCAAGATACCGTAAAGTTCCGAAAGTAACGAAAGTAACAATGTGCTGTACCTTTTCAGTTACATAAAGGAACGTCAACGATCAATATAACCGTTAAAAAAGTAAATCTCGGATCAGTTTGGTAAATCTTGTTGTAACTATAATTTCCTTTATTTCTAGCAAGAAGGGAAATCACTTTTAAAGTTGCTACTTTCGGAAAGTCGCTACGTTCGGAGAGTCGCTACTTTTGGCATTGCTAACACCTGTGAAATTTTTCCGCTACTTTCGGGGATCGTTACTTTGGGAACTTTTCGGTAGTTGTTCGTATAATAAGTGACATCAGCTTTAAACGTATTGCTAATTGCTTGAGTGTAACTGCATGCTAATTTGCTTCTGTCATTTTCTATTTTAGATAAAGAATTTCCTCTTACACTTCTGGCAAGGCATGCCCGATCACCTGCTACCGCTGATGAATACAGAAGTCGTAGCTGACGTTATTTGCGTCTGTGATTCCATTCTCTATAAGGTATATGTAGTCACAAATTAAACGCGACTTGCAGTTACCATCATAATGAAGGTTTACAGCGAAAAGTGTTTCAACTTTTGCCTTCCGTTGCCCTGCTGAGTTAAATTTGAATTTTTTGTTTGTCGACTGCGGGTCTTATGTTTTGAAAGCGGTCAAATGTTACCTAATATTCGTATTAGAAGTTGCAGCATAGAGCGAAGACGACTATGAGAACGAGATTTTCTCAATGCTAAGTAGTGCGCGCCCGTGAACCAGCATCATTTTAGCGGGAAAGCGCGATACCCATCGTCATTCCACTACGGGTTTTATTAGCAAAAATGTGGTAGTGACGGAAACAAGTTATCAAATGTAAGAAGTTTTGTTATTTTGCGATAGGGAGAAGGCCTAACCTCCTTCAATAAAAATAACGGTTTTAACTTTTCTTGTGAAAGAAAGGGAAAAAAAACTTTAAGCCAGATCTCGTCCTCATCTTTGAATCACAAGGACTCAATTGTGTCTGATCGCCGTACAAGTGAATTGTAAGGCTCGTGAAACCGCGAAACAAGCATCATTCATTCATTCCTTATTCATTCCACTTGACTTCTTTTGTAGGTTTTAATGGATGTTCTTGTTCCCTCCACAATGCAAGACGTCCCAGAAGGGTAAGTAAATTACAAACGTTATATTTATATTTCCAGCTGCATTTTCTTTTCGCCAATGACTATAACTAACAACCAGCCGTTTTTTCCTCCACCAGACTACTCGCTGATATCAGGACGTTTGCGAGACACCTGGAGTCCTGGGTACTAGCTGCAACAGTTGAACTTCCAGATTATCTGAAAATGGGAAAAGTCCAAGGTCAGTTGTTAAACCAGCTAGGATTATATTTTCTGTAGTGCATTTAGCAATGAAATGGAAACAGATTTTCCGTTTCTTTTTTTTTTTTTTTTTTTCATTTTTTGGTAGCCTGGGTACACCCGCTCCCTCCATTCAAAAAAGTCGGGGATTTTGTTTGAGGGGAGGGGTGGCTGTATACAGGCTATTATTTGGGTCAAAGCAAAGAGTGTCTATTTCTTCAATTATGATTTGCGAATCTATCCGCTCAAACTTTCGGCGGCATCAAGTCTTTGACAATCTTCCTAGTAATATAGGGTGCATTTCTTTTATTTTTCGTAGGTATTAGAACAGTGATTGCATACTTAACACGATTTCTAACAAATAAAAAGTGATTTTTTGCTTCTTTCTCCTTGTGAAGCTGTGAGGCGTTTTGTTCAGTCCCTGAGAAGACAAACTTCGTTCCTTCATCTTGCACAGGTATGATTTAACATCACTCTGAGAAACGAATCCTATATAGCCAAAGCTCCTTGCTACCGCAGACACTAATGGCGATAGTGCGAAGTGTTTGCCTTAAAAGGGACTATCGGCTACGGTTAGTTAGTTACGTTCGTTCGTTCGTTCGTTCGTTCGTTCGTTAGTAAGTTAGTTAGTTAGCTAGCTAGCTAGCTAGCTATCTAGTTAGTTAGTTAGTTAGTTAGTTAGTTAGTTAGTTAGTTAGCTACTAGTAAGTTAGTTAGTAAGCAAGTTATTTGGATGATTATCTCGCTACCCGCAAACAGGGCTTTACAGATTGTACAATAACACGTAAGAATTAAGCGTAAGATTCCTTAACAGATGATTTGGGTTATTTCTTTCGAACGTTGCACCGACAGCCTGAATTCGATCTAATTGTCTGACCTAATCTTAACCTTTGCTTTTTTCCCCAAGACTTCCCGACCCGTCTTAGCCAACCAAGAGATAGTGGATCACATGGTAAAAGACATCGAGAAGCTTGATATAGGAAACAATGGAAGGCAAACTTTGCAAGCCAGGACCGAAAAGGATTGCGACGATGGATTTGACAACGAATGTGAGAATAATCTTTACTCGCTCAGTCTTCTTTATAGTCACCCTTTTGTGTTTTCATGTAACGGGGCTGTGAATGCGTCTTGTTTCGCCTGGATGATGAGCTTATTTTGCTTGATATTTTGAATCTCAGTTCTTCAAGACTTTGTTGATCTGTTGCGCGAGCAAGCGCCTTTGGAGTCTTATGTGGAGTGGTTGGATAGGCTTGTAGAAACAAAGATCATTCGGGTGAGTAGACCTCACGTGATGTGCACGTGATCCATGCACTTATTTCTTTCTAACAACTTTGCGGCAAATGCTTCATTTATGATTTCGTCACTGTCTTTTTTCAGCCGTGTGAGGAAGCTGGTGACGATTTTAAGAGCAGAGCTCAGGAATTCCTTTTAAGATGGTCATTCTTGGGGGCGAGGCTAATGCACAACTTGACCCTCAACGCTTCATCGTACTTTGGTGAGATTAAATTAATAAGCCGTTTCCATAATTTCATAATTTCAACCAAAGTAGTCACATTTTCATTTAAAACAAACGCAAGAGGAAATATTCTAAAAAAAATAGCGGAACCAGAAGACGCTTTCTTCGAAGAGCATTGCTTACGCAACTTTCAACTATAAAAAAATCTCTGAAGCCTTCAACACAGGGAAAATAAAGGTTGTGGCTAACATGTGACATTTTTTATTTGTAAAACCTTTGGCCAAGTAATCTGTAAAGGCAAGCAATTTCCCAGTCTACTCTCTATATCGTAGCCTAGTATATCTGTTTTTCATCCGGCAAGGTTTACAAGAATGCTGTTGTTATTACCTCATTTCCAAGGCCAAGAATCAGCCTTTCTTTGAATGAATCAAGAGAGTATAATGGCGTTGATGATGATGATGATGACGATGATGATGATGACGATGACGATGACGATGACGATGACGATGACGATGACGATGACGATGACGATGACGATGACGATGACGATGACGATGACGATGACGATGACGATGACGATGACGATGACGATGACGATGATGATGATGATGATGATGATGATGATGATAATAATAATCGATCGTGTATGTGATGGAGCGCGCTCGATTTTAAGTAGACCGTGACAGACTTTCTCCTGCTTCAGTTTTAGGCTTCAGTTCGGCTTCATAACCTATCCGTTTCTGTTGACCTGTAGGATCACGTTGTCACTTGCTTCTTCTTTGCAGGATCCTTTCACCTTATTAGAATGCTCCTTGACGAATATATGTTACTTGTGATCGAAACGAAGTTTTACAATGAGACGGAAGAAAAGTTGCAGGAAATGCTTGATCGGCATTTAAAAATGGGTGAGTGATCATACTTATGCATGATGTTTAGAAGGGAAGAACTAAGGGACTGGTCAATATTTATCGCCCGGGGAGAGGGGGGCGAAGGATTTTGGGAGGATCACTTGATTTTTAGGAGAACAAAAGGGGGGATCAGTCGTTACTAAAAACCTAAAAGGGGGGATCACTGAAAACTTTGGAAGGATTCAGAGGGGGACCGGCCACTCAAATTTGCTTGGAAAATGAAGTCGGGGGGAGGGAATCGATGTTATTTGGGGGGATCACTTCAGTGAAGTAACATTCAAAGGGGAGATCGGTAAATTTCACCTTGTTTAGCCCCAATTACTCCCCCCCCCCCCCCCCCCCCCCCCCCCCCCCCCCCCTTAGGGGGGGGAGTAAGTATGGTTTTGTTGTAGGGGAGAACATCAAATAAAAAAATACACAAAGGGGAGCATGGAAAGTCTCCCCTTTTTGACCCCAAACTCCCCCCCCCCCCCCCCCCCCCCACCCAGGCGATAAATAATGACCGGTCCCTAAGGGATCTACAAGCTACAAGACATGATACTCTCGGCGGAACACCTACCCATCCAGCAATTCCTAACTCCGCCCGTCACGGCTTAACTTGTGTGATACTATTAACACCAAGTTTCGCGAGGGTTTGAAGGACACTTCCAGTCATAATTTACCAGTTGTCATCCTGGCTTCCTGGTTTCCCGCCAAAAGATAAGCACCACATAAATCGCCTTGTGTGCAGTAAGCGGCATCAAATTTTGTGGCGTAGATCATGCTTAAAGTATCTTTTTTTTTAGCACGTATGTATTGATAAGGCAAATTAAATGGGTCAGTAGATGGTTAGCCGTAGAAAACAACGCTAATGATTTTCTATTTTATTTTTCTTGCTATCAGGTGAAGGAGTTGACAAAGATAACTCCCCTCTTCGAGTGCAGACCATTGTAACCAAAACAAAGTTCACAGTGCCCGACAGCGTTCTCGCAAATGGCGGAAAACTGCCACCTAAATCAGAAATCATAGAACCCAAGCAAACTACCAAGCCAGGCACTCGGGTCAAACGTATAAAGTCACGTGACCATGTGAATGGCATGAAACCAAGACCCAAAAGACTGTCAACTCATCGTCTAAGCGCATGCTCTGTGATGGATCATCCACCTTCGCCGGTGATGAATGGCTTCCCGCCAACACCTTTAGAATCTTCAGCCTTTATTATGCCTTCGCCGAAGGAGAATTGCTTTCTTGGACACAACGGGATGCCTCAAGCGCCTCTGCTTACACCTCCTGTGTCGCCAGCGGTGGCTTCTGGGATGCAAAGGAACACAACAATGAACAACAGCTTTTCTCAGGTAACGTACACGGCTCTTGGTGAGAAGAAGCAGCAACCGTGGGGATATTCCATGAATGGTGAGGTCAATCCTCCATCTGAAGTGATCGACAGCTTGGTGGCACAGCATTTCAATAACTGTGGATTTGGAGGCTTTGTTCAACAGGCGCGGTACCAGGCTCCAATGGCAAACGAGATGAACAATGTAAGTTATACTTTGTCGTATTTGCCTCTTTTTTTAGCCTACCGCAACTATCAAGACTGTTACCCAAACCAACATTTTCTTGTCTTAGTGGGGTAAGCTCCCACCAGTCTCCAGCAGCTTAAAGATAGAGCACCTGGACTACAGTCGATCGAACCTCCACCTCTTTACAACGGCAACCTTTTTCTTGTCACGGTGGACAGTCCATACATTGACTTTGCTTAGTCCCTTGGCCTCATTATTCCGCGCGGCCAAATTGTTTTGGGTCACGTGATCCAAGCGAAGATGTGAGCCACGGATACGTCACCGAAGTGAATTGACCAAGAGGGCCTGGGAAGAAGCCTTACAGGGACAAGGCAAACATTGACTCTTGTTTTTGCTCTTGTTTAAACCTCTCCACAACCGCGGCCACTTACTTCCGCCCCAAGGCGGCCTTTGTGCGGAAGAGGTTCAACTGTAGTAACCTGGGCCGGGTTGTTCGAAGCTGGGTTTAGATAACCCAGGGTTAGTGCTAACTTTGAAACTCAGATATTAGAGCTTAAAATTCAAATTCAGTTTTACTCGTTTTGCCTACAATTTGATGACTGGATGCTCTAAAACAATAGAGAAAATTATCCAAGAGAGTGCTTTTGATAACAAGAAAAAGAAAGCCGGGTTAAAATTTAACCCCGGGTTAGTGCTAACCGGCGTTCGAACAACTGGGACCAGAGGGTTATAGGTTCTACTCCTATTGATACTGCTTTTTCTTCCGAGCCGCCTGTGTCACTGACAGAAAAACATTTTTCTCATTCTGTAGTCTGTTAGCAGGATGATTAGACCTCGTAAATACCTTCCAGTTGGCTCTGGTTAGTATTTTAGCAAAGGGTAATTGAATGATAATCATCCAACGTAGTCTCTCTCTCTCGATCATAAACATCTATCCTAGACCTTCCACAACTGATTACACTCTAACGCGCCTAAGTAGTTGTCATTGAACTAGTTATAAGGGTGTCGAGTGTAGCGGGGCGAAAGACCCACACTTTGATATAGTCCACTGTTGAATTCTACGAAGCAAAATTTGGTCCACGCCACTGTCGCCTCTACGTTAGAACATAGAGTCATCACTACTTTATAAGTTCTACTCAGTGATAATTTCCCTAACTTCTTATGTTTACTTTGTCAGGGTTACGACCATAGTCCAGACTACGTTCAAAACTGCACCGTCAATTCAAGTCACTTACCTTATCAGCCAATGATGGCAACTGCGAACTCCCATTACGCACAAGTAACGCAAGGTTATTACATGCATGTTGCGCAGCCCGAGTCACGCAACCACATCAACCACGTGACTACCGGCGGGGAAGTTCCGATGATGGGCTCTACCATGGTTTACGCAGAGGCAACAGGAATGATGGATGACGCTGTCGGGGTAGTGGAACATGCAGACGAAAATGACGAATTCATTAACATGACTGTTCATAAGTTGTTCAATGGTGATTGTGAGTTGGAAAAGATGGATTGCGTTGATGAACCAGGAATGCTCCCATCTATAAACTCACTTCTTACAGAAGCAGCCATTTAAAAGGAATAACGTAATGATTACAAATATATATAGATATATATATATATATTATGCAACTGTACAGAGACACATCAGCCGCTATATTCTTGCTATAGAACAGGTCAAATCACATGTAATATATTAACTTTAAAGCGCTCTATTTTTACACCAAAGCCGTTCTTTCTTGAACTTATTTTGTAGTCATTTTTTCACTACATATTTTTCAAAGAAAAGCAAGAGTACAGCGAATACTGACTTCTATAACCAGCGCGCCTGTGGCTATTTACCTTTCGTAACGGTCTTAGCCATTTTTAACGGTTGATGCCACTATTAGTAACCAAGCCTTTAGTTGTGATAGATGTAATGTATTCCCTTGATTAAGTTACAATAAGGCAAATAATACGTTTTTGAGTAGTCTTAGGAAGAACGAAGTTGACGTTCAAGTTGAATTTACGTTAAAAATTATGGAAAGGGCTAGGGTCACCTGTTATTGATGTAACATAAGAAAAACAGTTTGCTAGTCTATGTACTTATTTTTTTCGGAATTCTGGCTGGTCGGTGTGGTAGTGTAGTGGTAAGGGAGTCAGGGTTCGAGCTCCAGGTTCGACCCTGGCTTGCCATTTTCCTTCTTTTTCATAGAAACGCTTTCAATAACAGGTCAAAAATTTTCTAAGTGTCTCAAAAATGGCAGCGACCGTTTACGAAAGGAACAACTGCGGCGCCTGCCTAATAGAGTTACCCCCTGACGTTTTTCATTTAGTTCCCTAGTCTCTCATTAGAATACCGACACCACTATGTTGAAAAAGAGCATTTAACGTAGGTCCCATTCAGTTAGTGTTCGTTTTAGAGAGCGTTGACTGTACCTTAAAACCATTCTTATTCGGAGATGATTTTGTCAGCTCAATCGCGGTACGATTCTTAGAAAGGTCGAAATAAGAAGCAAAGAAGCTTAGTAAAAATTGGTCTTAGTTAACTCATTTAAAAACAGCTAGATTCTTAAGCTATCTGAAAGTTATGGTTAGACACAACAAGATTACGCGGTTAAGTTAGCTTTCGATCCCGGCCTGGTGCTGGCCAAAAGAATTGCAGCACTAGACACTATTAGTGCGATTTATACAGTGCGGTTAGACAGGGCGGTTAAACAGTGCGGTATGTTCCTCCTATTGCCCGGCCTAAGATAACGTGGCAGACGCGACCATTACCTATGGATATCTTACTAATGGCTGCATTGCCGTCGTCAGTCTAGTTTTAATATTTTGGTACACACATTATTACAGAAGTAATAGCTATGGAAAAATCATTATTTTATATCTTTTCATTTGATTTTATCATAGAAATTATAATTATAATCGAAAAAGATAAGTAATTAATGGTTGAAAAGGAAAAACACAATTCATGGTAAAATAAAAGTTTTAATCGTTGGCCATTTGTATGATAGACAATACATTAAAGTGATATATTTTCGTATCCTAAGTAAACATTGTAAATATTTTTTTATGTTATCGTTATGTATTACTCTAGTCTTTTTATTTGCAGATTCTAGATTTACGAGATTCTATTCCTGTAGCAAGACAAATAAATAAATAAATATATTACTGAATAAAATTGAGATCTTCCCTTGCGGCAAACTGTTCCGTAGACCTCTATTTTCCTTTGTCATGCTCGAGGGTTAATTCGATCATATCATGCCGGTGAAATTTTTATACTCCGCGGTGCAAGATTTTCCATCTATGGCGAGCAGTACACTAATCTTTGGTCGCTATTTAGGCGTTACAATCGGGATTTGTCTTTGTCATGATGATTTTTAGCAAGTTTGTCCAGCGGTGTCACCATAAATCAATTTCAAATCACTCTTATTGCGTCATTCTATTCTCACAGGCGCGCGCAAACAGTTTTAACCAATTATTGGACGAGGTTGAGCAAAGTATCGTGATTTGTCTGTGGCGAGCAGATCAATTGTTACAAATTACGAAATTTTGCGACAACCAAGTTCAATAATTGCCTTATCACCGAATTTGTGATTTTATGACGATATCTTTGGGAAGCGGGAAAATGCCAAATCGCTCTCTGAAAGGTCAACGAAGGGATCTACCGCGCTTGAGCAGAACTTATTTGCTGCCAAACACTAAGCCAAACACAGTTAGACGACATTGCGCATAAGCAGACCATTATTTGTAGGCGGTTAAGAAAGGGCCGACAGCCCACCATGTGACCTGCAAATAACTGCCTACAAAAAATGGTCTGTTCATGCGCAATGTCTTCCAACTGCATGTGTTCGGATGCAAATAACATTCTGCTCATGCTTAAAAGAAACCACGCTTTTCTCCTTCTTGCGATCGCTCTTGCGTGAAACTGGCAGATCGCTTCGCTTATTCATTTTATAACAAACTCGGTGATCGAATGATAAAACAATTATTGAACTCGGTTATCTCAAAATATCGTGATTTGTCACTGTCTCGCAGATCAATTATTTGCCGCAGCCGATCTGCTGCGCCGTACTGACAAATCACGATATTTTGCTCGTCAACTATCGTAAATTATTTTTGTATGACCGTAAACTGGCCAATAAAGACCCATGGAACTTGAGATCGTAGGTCTGCAATTAGAAAAACGTGAGGCCCCTATTTTCTTAAGTGCAAAACGTGTATGCTGTAGTTCATCGTTTCATGATGTTTTACTACCCAGCATTTGATCCTCGCAGCGTTAAACAGTTTGCGTTGCGGTCTTTAATAAAAAAAAGAAAGCTTAAGTACCAATTCCATTAAGAACAGCAACATTCGCTTTTTCGGCCATTCCATATTTACTAACTTCTCAGTCTATTTCAAGCTTAAGTGGAAAACTAGGCTCTTATAGCGGAAACTTTTATCATGATTAGGCCACATTTGAATCCTGTTTTAAATAATACTAGTAAACTAGAGCGGTTTTCACTTGACTGTCGAAAGGGATTGGTTTTGGTTTTGGTTTTGGTTTTACTACGCCCTTTGGTTGGCTAGTGTATTTACTTTGGTTTTGGTTTTACGACAGTCAAGTGAAAACTGCTCTATAACGAAAGGAAAACAGCTAGTTGACTTTATGGGTGGGCCTTTACCAGTAACTGTTGAACAACTGAGGACTGTTACACAAGGCGTTTGAATATAATCTTCTTACAGAAGATGTTCGTAAGTGGGGGCCAGTTTTCCAAACGACATTTCACGCGGGTGACTTGAATACATTTCCGTTCTTATGATGATGAGACACTCTAGCCTTGGAAAACAGCCGACATTTCGCGACGCCGCCTCTGGTCTCCCCGCGAAACGACGTCTTGGAAACGAGCGCAGAAATTCCATACTGATGACGTGTCACTACACAGATCTGGGTAGTGCTTCTGATGGGTTGAAGAAAATTCCCATGCACGCAGCACGCTCGCTTACGGCAGTTACGGCTTTCGCATACCTGTGGCAAAACCGGGAGAAAACACCGCATTTAATGTGAACAAAAAAATTCTGAAAAAACTTAAAGGGGGGTTACATAGGTGAATGACATCCCATATTTACAGGGGCACCCAACGGAAACTTTTGAGAAAAAGTCCTGAAAAGAACAACAAAGCATGAATAAATCTTTCTGAAACCATTTTAGGCATTTTAGGAGATCGCTGGAAAAAATTTATCTGTTCCTCACTCCCAGCAAGACTGATTGAAGAGTTCCCGGCCAGCAAGATGCACCTACAACCTGCAACCTGACTTACTTGGGAGTTTCCCAGCAGACGTATGTCCAGGCATTACTGGTCAGTTGGGGTGTGGTCATAGAGCAAAATTCAGACCTTCATTGGGGGGAAGGGGGGTGGTACAAAGCTAGGTGTGACCTAACGGCGAAATTCAACCCTTCAGACATCAAATCCCCTCAGACACCCTAAATTATCTTTCTCCCAGCAACATTTTCTTTCCAAGGACATATTATTTCTTCCACATCTCCCATCCAGTAAAACCTGGCCTGAAGAACAGATATTTTGAGGAATAGATCCATTGACTGCCCCTGTATTTACCTTGCTATTCTTTATATACCTTTTGCTCTTTTTCTTTGTTTCTCTATTTTGTTTTTGTTTTTTATTTAACTTCGACATTCTAGGTACAGGCGTGCATAATGGCGTATAGGCAGCCACGCCACTGATAAGAACGACTCTTCTGAAATTGCACATTTCGCTACCCTGTTTAAGACAAGAGACCATAACCCTGATTTTAAAATCAACATCATGGAACTTTACTTTTGAAAAAAAAAAAGGTCAGTGATTACAAATGTAGAAGACACATCGACCAGGAGCAAACAGAAGTCCTTGACGAGTTTCATTGAATGATTTCCGTGAAGTGAATTATATCCTTGGGGGTGCTATACATTGTCAGGAGCACATTACCCGGCGCGTGAGCCCATGCAAAGGGGTTTTCACGGAACTGTTTATTTTTAGAATCATTTTGGAGTACTTTTTCCCGCAAAAATGGAGGTCCCGTCTGTCTGCGCATCCATAGCACAATCAGTAACCGAAAAGAAAGAGTACATGAAATCAAAACATCGGAAATTCTATTTGCTAATTCAGCCTTGCTTCTTTTGTTGTAATGTAAGGAGGCCATAATCCGGAGCGAGCAAGTCAGTTGTGCCTATGTAACAGTGAATTTACGTGTCACTTTTTTTTTAAGATCGATGTTTCTGTGAATTTTGACAATCAAATAAGTCTTACTAATCATACCAGTCTGACAACTCGATTAATCCGGCCCTGCTCTGGGATATGATCAAAATGAAAGTAAGAGAAAAATCGATTGCATATGCAGCAGCTAAAAACTACAAAACTAAGTCCCGCGAGGATATCCTTTACAAAGAAATATCAGGTTTGGAGAAAGAATTGGATGAAAACACTGCCCTAAGCGAAACACAAAAATCGCTGCTACAGTCAAAACTTGACAATCTTAGAAGTGAGATGGAAGTAATTATTGAGTATCGTACAAGGGGTG